ACAGAGTATAAACATCCTGTTTTCTCCATAGCCTTGCCAGCATCTGCTGTTTATTGACTTTTTAGTAATAGCCATTTTGACTGGTGTGAGATGGTATCTCATTGTGGGTTTGATTTACAGTTCTCTGATTCAGTAATGTGGAACAATTTCTCAAATGTTTGCTGCCTGCTTGTATGTCTTCTTTTGAGAAGTATCTGTTCATGTCCTTTGCCCACGTTTTAATGGGATTGTTTCTTGCTTGTTGCATTAAGTACCTTATAGATTTTTTTATATTAGACCTTTTTCAGATGCATAGTTTGCAAATATTTTCTCCCATTCTCTAGGTTGTGTGTTAATTCTGTTGACAGTTTCTTTTGCTGTGCAGAAACTCTTTAGTTTAATTAATTAGTTGAATTCAGTTTGGTCCCACTTGTCAACTTTGGTTTCTGTTGCAATTGCTTTTGAGGACCTAGTGATGAATTATTTGCCAAGGCCATTGTCCAGTATGGTATATCCTAGGTTTCTTCTAGGATATTTTTTTTCTATTTTGAGGTTTTATATTAAACTTTAATCCATCTTGAGTTCATTTTTGTGTATGGTACAAGGCAGGGGTCCAGCTTCATTCTTCTGCATGTGGCTAGCCAGTTATCCCAGAATCATTATTGAATAAGGGATCCTTTCTCCATTGCTTATTTTTGTTGACTCTTCCAAAGATCATATGGTTATAGGTGTGCAGTTTTATTTTTGGGCTCTCAATTCAGTTTCATTGGTTTACATTTCTGTTTTTGTAATGTGTACTAAAATGGTTTAATATGTACTAAAATGGTCATTTCTAGAACCATTTGTGTGCAATGTGTATGCCCAGAGGTACCAGTAAAAACTCTGCCTTGGTTTCTGTTTTAGTTTGCAACAACTGACACTGTCTCTACTTCTTACCAAAGCTCTCTTAAATCTTCCTGTGCCTTTTTCTCCAGCCCTCACTGCAAGTCCTTTGTGCCAGCTCTCTCTTGATGATGCAAATACATCTGGGGAAGCCCATTTCTGACTCCACTTTAGCTGGCTTAAATTAGAATGCTTTTACTTGCACATAAAATATCTGAAATATTATCCAACTTGATTTTCAAAGAATGGAGTTTATAAAGATATACACCTTTTAGTCCATATTGGCTTGTCTTAGTTATTGAACAGAATCAAAACATCCCATTTTCCTTTTCTTTTTTTTTCTTTTCTTTTCTTTTCTTTTTTCTGAGATGGAGTCTCACACTGTCTCCTGGGCTGGAGAGCAGTGGTGCAATCTCTGCTCACTGCAACCTCCACCTCCTGGGTTAAAGCGATTCTCCTGCCTCAGCCTCCTGAGGAGCTGGGATTACAGGCACCCACCACCATGCCGAGCTAATTTTGTGTATTTTTAGTAGAGACGGGGTTTTGCCATGTTGGCCAGGCTGGTCTCAAATTCCTGACCTCGGGATCCTCCACCTCAGCCTCCCAAAGTGCTGGGATTACAGGCATGAGCCTCCATGCCTGGCCAACATTCAATTTTTCTATAAAGCCAAGATAACTATGAAAAAGTGGTTTTTCATATCAACTGACCTATAGAGGCTTATGTTCAGCAGAACCTGCTTGGTTACAGTATGCTAATAAAGTGAAATAAACTCTTCTTCAACCTGCTTTATGCAACAAAGTCCCTCTGCCCTAAAGTTGTCTTAGAAAAGACAGCCTAGGTAGTTACTGTACTCTGGGCCTCACAGCTCAAGTACATCATGTGATCAATATCCTCTTTAAAAGCCAGGGATGATGTTTTATAAAAGTATTCTTTAAACAAATGGCAGCAGGAAATTCAAAATTGGATAATTCATATTGCTGCTACAATTTATTTGCAACTAAAAAGAAAAATCATAGAAAATGAAGCATTGTTGCCTGCAGGAGGTGTATAGTGTCTGAGATTATTGTTATTCTCTTCCTCCCATATTTCCCCCATATCCTCTTAATGGAATAATTATTTTATGCCTTACTTGTACGTAATTCAGGCAAGCTAAGCCAACCAATATGTTTCTTCAGAGGAAAAAAGACTAAACATAATAATTAAAGAGTAAGTTAGTTATGTAAGTAGCAAGTATTTCAGGGATGGGGAGACAGTGTAAGGGATGATCCCCTTGGAAATGGACACCAGTGGGTGGTAACGTGTGTGGGAAGAAGAGTGATTCCATCTTAGATGCTAACCCACCATGTTGACTCCTGACTAACACTGAGTCCGGGAATGCCTCCAAGATGTCTAGCTGATGATTTACTCTCTATGTAGAAACACCTATTTACTCTGAGTTTCACCTTTCCTCCAAAACAACCCTTGATATTGTTGCCCACATCCCCCGTGGCTGTGACACCCATAGCATTCTCTCAGCCACTCACTCATTCCTTCCAGAGCAAATGTGTTTTCCCCAGGATCTATAAAGCCTGAGTCTGGAAGGTTGTAGTGTGAAGGCCTACCTTTCTTTTGGTCACTCAAGACCACGCTTGTGTCTGTAAGTTCCCCCATAAATCAGCCTTTGCAAACAAACTGCATTTTTCTGTTCTGTTCTTTGGTTTCTTGGCTCCTTCTGCGTTTGGTGGACACTTTGCATATGTGGCCCTTTCAGGAAACAATGGAAAACTTACAACATTCAGCATTTTGGTGTCTACTTTAAGAGATGTTTTGTAAATGATTTGTTGTGTAGGTCATGACATTTCCTCAGGCTCACCATCGAAACATCAATCTATATAAAATGATAAAACATGAGCTTTAAATGTGAGGACTCTAACATATTTATGAAAGACACAACAGATGGGCAGGAAACACTGAGAATGGGAATTCGCTTTTCTTTTTTTAATTTTTTTTTTTTTTTTTTTTTTAGATGGAGTCTCGCTCTGTTTCTCAGGCTGGAGTGCAGTGGTGTGATCTTGGCTCACTGCAACCTCCACCTTCCAGGTTCAAGCCATTCTCCTGCCCCAGCCTCCTGGGTAAGCTGAGATTACAGGAGTGTGCTACCACGCCTGGCTAATTTTTGTATTTTTAGTAGAGACAGAGTTTTGCCATGTTGGCCAGGATGGTCTCAAACTCCTGACCTGAGGTGATCCATCCATCTCAGCCTCTCAAAGTGTGCTGGGATTATAGGTGTGAGCCACCATGCTTGGCTGGGAATTTGCTTTTCGACAGAGAAAAGAGGCAGTGTATCTGCCAGGCAATAATAATGATGAGCATGAAATGCTAATTTCAGTGTATTGAGTATGTGAGAAGACCAATACTAGTTTCCTTAGGTGTATTAATTTGAATTATTTTAACAACTTTAGAAAGTCAGTATTATCATTTCTGTTTGAAGAGTGAGCAAACTGAGGCTCGGAAGTGTTGTATGCCTTGCCTAAAGTCACACGGTTGGTGTGTGGTTATGACAGTGTTTGTGGTCAGATCTGTCTAGCTCCAATGCCTGAGTTATTCTCTGCGAGCTCCCTCTTAGCTGTTCCAGTGTTCCTACCCAAGAATTCTTTAGTGAGATGTCTAAAGAATATTAGAATAAAGTGAGTATATTCTTTAGTGAGATGGTCTCCAGGCATTATCCTAGGTTGAATAAAATGCTCCAAAACATTCTCCAACTCAGATCTACACATCAGTAGTTGCTTTTTAAAAATAACTTTTCTCCAAGGACCTCAGTTTTGAGGAATGTGTGCCCTGGGTGAAGAAACTGGCATTTTCACTACTGGAAAGAAATACTTTTGTCTCCATATTAGTTTTTCAGTATTGGTTTTTAGATTTTTTTTCATGAGTTATGTTAGTAGTTTTGACTCTTTTGACTGGCCATTCTTGGATGATCTACTAAATTCAGGTTTCTGAAATGACACACATGAGAGATAGCTTTATTGGTTTTCTATGAATTTTCTTGTTTTCTTCTTACAATTGTTTTGATATTGCTCCAGGAGCAATATCAAAGGAAGCCAAGCTGCTGTAAAGCTTCTCACTGCTTCTGTGTGTTATGCCAGCTCCTCTGCCTCAAACACTTGCCCTGCCTTCTCAACTGAAAAATCATTCCTCTTAAAATCTAGCTCAAATGCTACCAATTCTTTTGCAAAATCATTCTGGAAGCCCCCAGAGAAAGCCAACTTCTCATTCTTTTAAACATTCATATAATTTTGCATATGCCACTCTCCTATTCACTTAACACTCTATGGTAACTCCTTCTGGATAATTCTACTTTCCCATCTAGCCTATGAGCACCCCAACAGTGTCAATAAACTCAGTCATCTTTGCAAACCTACCATCTTCAACTGCACCTGGCACAGGAAGAGAATGCTCAATAAACACTTGTAGAAATGACATTTAAAAACCATACAATCTTGTCTTTGAAAACTAGCATTCAGGAAGATCTAAGATGAGTACTTAATAGGGGCTTTTTTTTTTCCTCCTTGAAGAGCTTGACTGAAATAATAGTTACTGAACCAAGTTTCTTCTGAGTTCACTGAACTTGATTTATTAGCATTGAATTTCCTCTTTTAGCTTTTTTATTTTTATTTTTGCTTATAATTGGCCTCTTTATGTTTATCATAACCCTCCACTTATAAATATCATAGGATGCTTCATAGAACAGTGAGAAAAGCGGACCCTTGGGAAGTCAAGGGACTTACCAAAAATCACACAGCTAAGTGGGAGAACTGAAGTAGAACTCTGGTTCTATGGGCCTCTGTTTTTGTTCTTTCTAGTAGGCCAGGTTGCTATGTAAAAATAATAATAACCCCTTTAAGCTTCTTTATAGCTCTTTAACCTATTCAGATGGTTTTCTTTAATAGTCGCAGAGGGCACCATACCACAGAAAAAGTTGTCATGAGATTTAGTGACTTTTCAAACAAAACCACTTATAAATTCAATGTGAGAAATATTGGTCCCATCCTGAAGAATTGTGCTTTCTTTTTCTCAATGAAAAAAGCAATAAAATGCAAGTACACACCATCTGGACACAGAGGCTGTCAATAATAAAATGAGGAGAAATGGCACTGACCATAATCTGTGTTTTCCGGCTCCCAACAATTTGATGGCCAAAAATAGGGTGTCTGTGGAATGAAAAGAAGTGGAACCAGGTTAGACAAAGAAAAAATTAGTGGAGCTTCTGGCTTGCAAATGCATTAACCTTCCACAATTCTCTATATTGGTTTGCTATGTGTTTTCTAATACAGAACACGTTCCAAGAGACACATTGTAAACTCTTTGTCTACGTTTCCTCTCCTGACCAATTGCTCAGTTTGTAAATATGTGTAGTACCAGCAAGCAGGTATTTAAAATGTCATTCATTTGGTGTAATTTTATACCAACTGACATAAAGGTAAAAAGGTCTGATTGTATTATTCAAACAAAAAGTATTCATCCACAGAGAGGATGAAATCCTCTGAAAGAGAATTATATTCAGCAAGACTCAGGATGAAATGTATTTAAATATAACAAATTGTTTTCTATAAATCATGTATCTCAACCAACCAACAAACTCTTTCTCTGAGATCTGACAATCATTTACCTGGCCCCATTAGTCATATAATGCAGTTCTCAGCATTGTCCAATGAGATTAAAATAACTTTTTACTCTCACTTTCAAAAACATTTCCCAAATTTTTCTTGTAATTAATTTCTACAATTTGGTAATACTACAGGGTGACTAGGGTCAATAGTAACTGAATTATAAATTTTAAAATAACTAAGAGTGTAACTGCATTGTTATAGCACAAAGGGTAAATGCTTGAGGGAATGGATACCTCATTCTCCATGACGTGATGACTTCAGATTGCATGCCTGTATCAGAACACCTGATGTATTCCATATATTCCATACACAAATATGACTAGGAGGTACCCACAAAAATTAAAATTTAAAAATTTTCAAAAAATTGAAAATTAAAATTTAATTAAAAATTAATTTTTAAATTAAAATTTAAGAACCCACAAAAAATAAATAAAAATAAAAACATTACAAAGACACTTGCTCTAAAGTTTTAAACTGCACATATCAGAGGTCCTTTTTTAAACTACTAGTGTCTTTTTTTTTTTAACTGCATTTTAGGTTTTGGGGTACATGTGAGGGACATGCAAGATTGTTGCACAGGTACACACATGGCAGTGTGGTTTGCTGCCTTCCTCCCTTTCACCTGTGTCTGGCATTTCTCCCCATGCTATCAGCGGGGTTGGGGGGAGGTGGTAGGGAGTTGGGGAGAGATAAACTACTGGTGTCTTAATTGAGTGGTTTAATCTAGAATAGGCAGAATTTGGATTCTGTAGAATTCTAGAAACTGATTTTCTAAACTACAAATAAAATGATTGATCGAGAAAAACTTTATTCTTATCATTAATATTTATATTTTCTAAAAGGACTTTTCTAGTCCTTCTAGCTGAACACACTCGACTCCTGACCATGAGGAAACCTGATGCACCTGTCTCCTCATCAACCCCTGTTCCCTGGAAGGATGAGAACTGCAGGACTCACTGTAACAGTGATGGCAAATATCAGTACTGTGGGCTTACTTCTATCTGTTAGCTAATTATATTAACTAGCCATGTGCAATGAACATATTTGGAGTAATCTCTGAGTACCTAATAATGTTCCCCTGTAGAAGAGAGACTCTACAGGAGAGAAAATGGGGAAATGGGAAGAACGGTTTGAATCTCTACAGAAAAGTCTTTCCAAACTAAGATGCCCCCCGCCACCACCATCACCCAGGGATTTTGACTTACCCTTCGTTTTTTTTCTTGGAAATTATAGTAGTAAAATAAAGAAGGCTACTAATAGTAGTTTTGTGAACATGAGAACAAAATCATCGTAGGAATTTTGAAGAAAGAAAAAAGATTGAACCACTAGACAAAGGAGAATAGTAAGACTTTATATGGGTCACCTTCATCACCCCAATCTCACTTGACTCCATGGGAGATGAAGCTTTGAGAATTTGATTTCTTAAAAATAAAATTGAATCCGGATTCTAGGGGAGCCCTAGGGGGACAAAGTAATTAAAACTTTGCTTTCACGTAGGGTGTTATTTTTTGAGATGCTTCTTATGGAGTGCACAATTCCCTTTCGGTTGTTTCTGTATTTTGGTGAGTATGTATGTTTATGTATAGGTACGTGTGCAGGCATATCTATTTATCTAACCTTCAAATATCTGTTCTACTCAGGCCAGTGAGACATATACTTTTTTCCTCAAAAGCACAAAAAATACTCTCAGCTGCATTCTTGTATTTTTCTTCATTCTTCATCATTTACTTCAGAGAGAATTTAATGACTGTAATATTAAAGAATAAAGCATTTTTTCCTTGAGATATTATATGGAAATGCCACTAAGCCAACATTATTCACCAATATTGGAAGACTTTTTCTAAGAAGCAATGTTTTGATTTGTAGTGAAAGATAATATAAGAGAATAACAAACTCTTATACTTTTTTGGAATTTAAATACATATTTTATAGTTCTCCATACATTAGGACATTTTAATGTATGAGTTTCTTGGCTTTTCAATATTGATTTCCTTAGCTAGGATGAAACTCATCTGAAACTGTTCAACTGTTATTCAATAATTGTTGGAGCATATGCTAATGTATTAAGAGTCACGAAAAAAGAGCTAAAGAATCACAGCAGATCTCAATTTCAATTAGCTAAGAGAGGATTCAACAATTGTGACTTTATGGTAAATTATAAGAATCACGATTAAGACATGTACTACAAATTTGAGACAAATATGTAAACTGCCATGCCTATGAAATCAAGATTTCTGTTTGTCTCAAATTTATGCTTTGAAGATGCTTTAGATTTTTTTTTTTTTTTTTTTTTTTTTTTTTAACTGAGTCTTGCTCTGTTGCCAGGCTGGAGTGCAGTGGCGCAATCCCGGCTCACTGAAACCTCCGTCTCCCAGGTTCAAGCAACTCTCCTGCCCCAGCCTCCAGAGTAGCTGGGACTACAGGTGCATGCCACTATGCCCAGCCATGTTGGCCAGGGTGGTCTCCATCTCTTGACCTAGTGATCCATCTGTCTCGGCCTCCCCAAGTGCTGGGATTACAGGTGTGAGCCACCTTGCCCAGCCTAGATTCATAATGATCTTTAGACTCCCAACCATTCACTGGAGGATTTGTAAACATGGCATCCAAAGTTTTCTATTTTAATTTATGATCTTAAAATATCCTTTCAAGTAGTTGAATTTCCCTTCAGTGTAATAAAGAACTTTCGCTGTTTGGAACCAAAATAAAAATAGAAGTGAACACCTTGAATGATACTGGGTTTTCTATTATTAGAGCGCTTCAAAAATGTCTTGGTAGACATTATAGTAGAAATTCAGTTACTTCTGACTTTTCTGGTGTTTAAAAAAATCTTGGTTTCAGAATTCTAATATTATTAGATTTACGAATGTGTTATATTTAGACACTATTTCAAATATGGATGCATCATCAAAATATGTAACATTTAATATTTATCATTAATGTAATTTTAATGTGCATATGTATATTTTATATCTGCCTATCTATCTCAGCACACTGAACTTGACAACTCTGTCTATCCCTAGTAGTTATGTAAGTTCATTAGTCATTTGTACTCATTCCCTTGCATTGTTCTAAAGCTCTTTTAAAAATTCTCTCCTTTTCTCCCGTGTGTATGGTGATCTCTTCCTTCATATGGCTTTTATTTTTTCCTGAGACTGAGTCTTGCTCTGCCACCTAGGCTGGAGTGCAGTGGCACAATCTCACCTCACTGCAACCTCAGCCTCCCAGGTTCAAGGTCTTCTCTTGCCTCAACCTCCTGAGTAGCTGAGGTTACAGGCACATATCATCAGGTCCAGCTAATTTTTTGTGTGTTCTTTTTTTTTTTTTTTTTTTTTTTTCAGTAGAAATGGGGTTTCACTATGTGGGTCAGGCTGATCTCGTACTCCTAACTTCAAGTGATCAGTCCATCTTAACCTCCCAAAGTGCTGGGATTATAGACATAACCCACTGTGCCCAGCCTCATGTGGCATTTCAGACCCATGAATATGAATAAGACATGTAAACCCTGTCTGCCTTCTACTTTTTTTTTTCTGGGAATAGAGATTTCTTTTAAATATCAGAAAGCATTAGTCACATATAAACAATTTATTTGCTAATCATTAATAATTCCTAGTTATTAAAAATTTAACCTTGGGACCACAAGTTACTTTAATAATATGCTCTTTTAAGCTACCATTAGTTTAAGTTAAGCTGTTTAAAGAATAAAGCTCCATTAATGTAAAGATTTTGTGGGTTAAGTAATTTAACTATGTGCTTGAATACTTAGGTCAGTATCACCGTTTCAGGAGACAACTTTATTTCCTCCTAGCTCTTAAGTGTAAAAATGTCCTATGATTATTTGCCTTGGGAGAAATGAGTCCTAAGGAAGGAGCAGTAAGACTGTTCTATGAGGACATTAATCTTTGAGACGATTTTTTAAAGCAAACGATTAAAATAATTCCTCTTTGTTCTCGGTTTTCCCAAACAAATCTTAGGCACTCTGATTACTATTCAGTCATTTACGTAGATATAGAGCATTTAATAATACTTAGAACAAGTGAGAAGGTGGCTCCAAAGTCTGAAAGTTGGACCATGGAGAGAACCCACGGTCCACAGACCATGAAGAGAACCCTCCACGTTGGAAATAGGTTAGTGTTTGACATTCAGCATTTTATGTGCCTTAATTTTGCAGGCTAGAATCTGCTAGTCAGTTATTAATGAGCCATAATGCCTACTGAAATGTAGAGTACACTTTAGGTAAATTAATGTGAACTCAAGTGTCAAATACACTTACGATGACTGAAATTAGAGTCCACAATCATGACCTGAAAGAATGACAGCATCTGTGTCATTTGCAAATGACCTAGAATGACTCTTATCAGTTTGCATATTATCGGAGGTATCCTGTTGCAGTTGAGTGCACACACACTACATTTCATCATGTCAGTCTTCACAGACTTGTAGAAGAGCCTTGGATGCTGAAAGTTTGTATAATCAGCTGAATCCTATCTTGGAGCTTCAAGCATTCCCATTAAAAGTTACTTGGGATGCAGATGGTCTGGATCACAGGCAAGGGTCAGACTATAAGCCACGGACTTATACTTCTCCACTTCCTTTATCTTTTCTTTTCTTTTTGAGGAGGAGTCTCCCACTGTCTCCCGGGCTGGAGTGCAATGGTGTGATCTTGGCTCACTGCAACCTCCCCCTCCTGGGTTGAAGTGATTCTCCTGCCTCAGCCTTCCGAGTAGCTGGGATTACAGGCGCCCTCCACCATGTCCAGCACTTTTTCGTATTTTTAGTAGAGACAGAGTTTCGCCATGTTGGCCAGGCTGGTCTCAAACTCCTGATCTTGTGATCCACCCACCTTAGCCTACCAAAGCACTAGGATTACAGGCGTGAGCCACTGCACCTGGCCCCTTTCTAGTAACTTAATGCAACTTACAGAGGAAGACTCTCCGGTCTTTCCGAATGCCATTAAGTCACTTTCTGAATTTCCCTTAAGCTTTTCATATAAAATAGAATTTCCATCATCACACATCATCTTGACTAAGGATACTTCATTTTTCTCTGTTTATTGCTTTTTATGTGTCTAGTTGAACATTAATCAGTTTCTAACTAGCCTAAGTCAAAGTAAAATAGGTCATAGTTTTTAAAAGTTCTGTTAAAAAGAAACCTAACTAGCAAACAAAATGCAGGCTTCTAGTTGACTGTTCAAGAACATTCCTGTTAAACTTACTTGAAACCGGTAAAAGGTGCCATCATCCTTGAGTGTGAGGACGTGATCTGAGATTGGGAAGAAGTAACCATGGGCAGCCATTAACGTTCCCAAATGGAGCGCCTCCACTGTTTCATGGAAACAAACAAAGAACATATAAAAAGCCTTTTACATTTATTCATTTATAAGAATGTAACATTACGTGTGGTTCCTTTAGACTGCATTCTTGGCTTCACTTCGAAAAAACTTTCACTGCTTGGAACCAACATAAAAATAGAAGTGAACACCTTGAATAATGTGTTTTCTATTATTAGAGCTCTTCAAATACGGACTGGCTAATGCCTTGGTAGACATTATAGTAAAAATTCAGTTACCTCTGACTTTTCTGGTGTTTTTAAAAATCTTGGTTTCAGAATTCTATTATTAGAATTACACATGTTATATTTAGACACTATTTTAAATATGGATTAAAAACCTGGCGTTGTGCTTTTTTTTCTTTTTCAGCCCTTTCACACAAGATACTAAGGTGGTTCTAGTTCCTGGTAGCAGCTGCCATGACCAATGTCATTCCATGACAACCAGCCCATGAGAAGTTAAAGTGAAGAAACGTTAAAATGGGAAGGCTTTTCTGAATCTGTAGAATCTGTCTCCTTCATTGTGAAGACATGTGTTGGCTCTGTGTTTAGACATTTATACTGCAATTTAAACTTTTTTAAAAAAGTTTTCATGGCTGGGCGCGGTGGCTCACACCTGTAATACCAGCATTTTGGGAGGCTGAGGTGGGCAGATCACGATGTCAGGAGTTTGAGACCAGCCTGGCCAACATGGTGACACTCAATCTCTACTAAAGACAAAAAGAAATTATCTGGGCTTAGTGGCACATGCCTGTAATCCCAGCCACTTGGAAGGCTGAGGCAGGAGAATCGCTTGAACCTGGAAGGTATAGGTTGCAGTCAGCCAAGATTGCACCATTGCACTCCAGCCTGGGCAACAGGGAGACACTCCGTCTCAAAAAAAAAAGTTTTCACTTGCCTCACTTTCTTCTCCATATCATAGCTATTTAGTACCATCAGTAATGTTTCTAGTGATATAGATCATTATTTTGTGATGCTAATAGGAAATGTTAAGGCATCAATGATGGGCCATGTATGCTGCACTATTGAATCTACAGACTGGTGATTGTAAAGATTGCTCTAGCTTTTACTATTCTATACAGTGTTCTAAGTATGGAGTAGAAGTGATTTATTGGACAATGGAAACATTATAGTCTGAAAGTAAGGCTGTAATACTCATACTATCGATAGCTGCCACCAATTTCTTCCCACAAAAGGGTTAATAAAATTTGATCAGTAGTTATTACTGCATTTGTGCAGAGATGACAAAGTTTTCTAACTTAACGTCTAGAAAATATGAAACTATGCAAAATACTTTTCTACTCCGACATAAAAATATATGTAGAGCCGTCTCCTGGTATCCTCAGGGGATTGGTTTCAGGACCCGCACAGATACCAAACTTCAAAGACGCTCAGGTTCCCCGGTTTGCCCTCCCACATCTGTGGATTTTTGATCACCGGTGGTTAAATCCACAGATGTGGGAGTCGTAAATAGAAAGGGCTCACTGCATGTAGAAAATACCAAAAAGTTTAGATTTATTTATCTGTTTATGTATCTTTATGTACAATTCATTTATAAATTTATTTCTGTTTTTTTTTTTTTTAACAAGAAACTAGGATTCTTACAGCAGTTCCAGGACTACATGAATCTGTATCTCCAGCCATCAGTCAGGGGGAGCTTTTACACCTCAGAAAGAACTCAGCAGCAACCTATGGTACAGCTAAGCATGAGAATCTCATCCTTCTCCTACCCCTCACACCTACATAACTCATAAATTGGTTGTAAAATTTTTATCTGTTGTGAGGTATTATGATGCCCCTTGAAATTGTTATCCAGCATCTTGTGAACATTTTAATTGATAACTTCTACCTCTGTTCTCTCCCTGCATTGTTCTTGCTGATAAAGAACACCTGCCAACCATTCTTCACTCTTTGCCCTGGCTTTGAAAGACTGTTATTAAGTGCTCCAGCCATAATCCAAACTCCCAATCAAGTCTCTCTCTGTATAGAATGTTGTTTTTCTACAAAGGAGCAATTTTTTTTCATCAGTTTTGTGTGTGTGTGTGTGTGTGTGTGTGTGTGTGTGTGTGTTTCCACCATTTCCACATCTTTTCAGTTCAAAGTCAAAGTCTTTTCAAAGCCTGCACTGCTCAGAGCAACATGCCTACCCATCCTTGTTAAAACTTTGGTGCCAGGGTGGCATTGTGAAAAGAACAAGAACTTTGAAGACACCCACTGTCTTCTGTTACTTTCATTCTCTGTGCCTCCTCCATCTCTTAATAAAGGTCATAAACCCACCAGGCAGGATTGACGTGAGAATGACATGAGCACAATTCTAATGAAATTGGAATCGCGCTTCCAGCCTAGTAGATACTCTGCATATGGTAGCTACTGTGTTTCATTATGTACACACAAAATAATTTTTACTTTTCTACAAAGCACTTTCAGAGAATCGACTTCCATACATTTACCTTCCACTAGGTTGAGTGAATATTTTCAACACAAGAAAATCATAAATGTTTGAAGTGATAAAGTGATAGATATGCTAATTATTTTGACTTGATAATTGCACATTCCATGTATTGAAATATTACTCTGTACCCTAAAAATATCTAACAAAAATTTAAAAAAACTATGGTGAGTCAGGGAACCTGACAGTCCAAAATAGCCATGTTCATCATCATCATATTACTCTTTTTTTTTTTTCTTTCTTTCCTTGACTGTCTATAAAATTTAAATGGTAAGAGGATCCATAAGGATGGCTGGCCCATAACAAATGAGCAGGTGCTTAGAGACCTGGTTAAAGTCTGAGTCCCAAGGTACCCCTGTGGATGAGTGAAGGACATGCAATGCCAAAATACCCAAGACTAATATATTGATTGTTTCGAGTTGAAAACACTGGAGAAATTGTGGTTTTAGAAAGGGATACCTGGCTTATCCCTTCCTATATGCAGCAAGCCATAAAGATTCCTCTGGGAGGGGTATCCTCCCTTGACTTGGGCAAGAAAACAGCTCTTGCCATCAGAGACTGGGAATTGGGGGCTGCAATGAACCTGAATAAATAAATTTAATGAGGCCAGGCACAGTGGCTTATGCCTGTAATCCCAGCACTTTGGGAAGCCAAGGCAGATGGATCACTTGAGGCCAGGAGTTCAAGACCACCCTGGCCAATGTGGGAAGCTCCACCTCTACTTTAAAAAAAAAAAAAATAGCTGGGCATGGTGGTGGGTGCCTGTAATCCCAGCTACTTGGGAGGCTGAGGCACGAGAATCACTTGAATTTGGGAGGTGGAAGTTGTAGTGAGTGGAGATCACACCATTGTACTCCAACCTGGGCAACAGGGTAAGACTCTGTCGCAAAAAAATACAATACAATAAAATAAAAAAATAAAAATTTAAAAATAAACTTAATGAAGTAACCCTTACTTTCCACTAGTTTTATACTCCTCATATATCCCCTAGTGATTCTGCTAGAAAATTTACTGCCTGTAGCCAGATTTTCTTTGTTCTGTCAGTTTTTTCTTAAATTTATTATTCTTTGTCTAACAAGTATAGAAGTGTCTTGCTTTGGCCGTTTCTTCAGATTTTACTCTCTTGTGAAGATCTTCATGTACATGTAAAACTAATAAAGTGTATGTGCTTTTCTCTTATTAATCTGCCTGGTGTCCATTTGATCTCCAGATCCACAGAAGAGCTTAGGGAGGTTGCAGGTGATCTCTGACTTCCTTATACCTGTCAGGGAATATTGGGTGGGGCAACATGTAACATCCTTTGCAGGACTTCAAAATCTGTCTTCTTACAGCCATCTTGATTATTTTAGTTCCAGCAGTCTGTGGCCTGGGAAGATAGTGTCAGCACACTTTCCCGGAAGAGGAATTAAGTTATGGCACATAAGGAAATCTGCAGAGTATAGAAACAAGAAGGAAAAACTGAGATGCCCAGAAAGATAGACAGTAAGAGGAGTCTCCGTGTTCTAAGCATAGGAAGGGGTGTGACTAAAATCAAGTCAAGAAACAACAAAAAGCAATTGGATGTCAAAGTGTTGATGAAGGTTAGAAAAATATAGTGAAAGTAAATATAGAGAAGCTACAAGAGAAGACAAGAAGTGAAGCATCATAAGAATATTCCTGGCTCCTGAATCTCATTAACTACAAACTTACAAATTACACACTTTTAGAGTGCAAAGGGTATGTTGGCAGGTGCTTCTTTAGTTAATACTACCATAATTAGACATTAATAAATGCTTGCAAATGAGAACTACAGTGAATTAGTAAAATTCACCCTCCTTTTTTGAGGTACAATATCTATTTTCATTTGATTTGATGATAAGAGGATTGACCTTCTAACAATGCTTATTAAATGGTTTTAAGGTTTTTGGTCAAATAGTAATCTAGAAATACTGAGATAATAATAGATATTATGTGTTCATTACCGGATCTCCAGAAAATACAGCTCCAAAGCAAGATAAATGCTTAGATGAAAAATCAGAAAGTTGGGGTGAATTTTCTCCTTCATTTAAGATGACAAGTTTAGCATTGAGCATATCCATGGCAAAAAAGCGACTGAATTGGCTGGGCGCAGTGGCTCAAGCCTGTAATCCCAGCACTTTGGGAGGCCGAGGCGGGTGGATCACAAGGTCAAGAGATTGAGACCACCCTGGTCAACGTGGTGAAACCCTGTCTCTACTAAAAATACAAAAAATTAGCTGGGCATGGTGGCGCGTGCCTGTAATCCCAGCTACTCAGGAGGCTGAGGCAGGAGAATTGCCTGAACCCAGGAGGCGGAGGTTGCGGTGAGCCGAGATCGCGCCATTGCACTCCAGCCTGGGTATCAAGAGCGAAACTCCGTCTCAAAAAAAAAAAAAGCAACTGAATCAATATTTGCTGAATCAATGAACAAGGATCTTTATTAGTAAATAAAACATCAAAAATATTAAAAACCTAACACTGCATTAAAAAAAAAAAACGGACTAATTATTGCATGCTATAAGTTGTTGAGGTGGGCTGTTGTAGCTAT